TTTTCTTCGCTGGTGGTTTTTGCATACTACTTTCGTTGCTCTCTTTTCGTTGATTTCTTGGTGCTGCTGCTAATTTAAGGTTTGCAGCTACTGGTGTCTCTGGAAGAAGACTCGTGGGTGGAGCTTTTTCTGGTAGTGGTGGAAAATGTTCCACGCTGATTTCGTTTCTGTTTTGTTGTCTTTTTTGAGGTTTTTCTGGACATTTATTCGTCCAATGGTCGTCTTTTTGGCAGTACTCGCAGGCAATGCGCCTGCCTTGTACTTGTACCAGCACTTTGTGGTACGATCCAGTCACGCCTGGTGTGTACAGGCGAAAGTGGTGGGGTACTTCTTTCACTGGGCGACACGTAGCACCCCACTTGTTGTGTTCTTTCTGTGACACATAAACTGACGGGTCTGGGTCCCCTGTCAGCACGGTGACCACTTCCTTTACTCCTTTTTCATCTATGTGCCTCGGCAGGAACGAGAGGAACAGTTTTTTCTTGTCTGTCTCTAAATGTTCGATTGTCAGTTTTAAATCTTTGTCTATTTTCCGGAATTTGTCATGCAGCCCATCGTACATTTTCGTGTGCGCTGCTTCTGACAATTTGAAAAACCACAGCGTGGGGTCGTTGTATCTGTACGTGTCCACAATGTCCCTCTGCGGAATTCCGAAAGGACCTATCAACATTGACGTGATATAACTCAGAGTGCCTTTGGCTGCGGCACCTGGACCTTTGAGTTTGCATACCAGAATGCCTTTACTATGCAACTCCGGGTACTTGTACCCCGTTTTCGGGAGAGTAATTGTAAGAAGAGTAGCCATCACTTACTGTTTCTCCTTTTCAATATATAGCACCACAAATTTAAACCACAATTTCCGTATAATAAATCTTGTAATAAATCTTGTGTATCCTTCAGATGAAATATAACGTGTATTTGAAACGTTTCAAAATGCTCACGGGAGATAATCCAAGAAATTTCGAAACAGTCTGTGTCAATCCAAAGTTGTAAAACGCAGTATAAAATCCAATTTATGACTAGAGCAACGTTTCCTGAGTGATCTGTAATATTGTTAGTGCGGGCAAGTCAACCTTTAGAAATGATCCCTAAAAGTATGATCTCCCATTTAATCAACTATTAGGACATGCTTTTAGGCAGGCAGTGGGTCTATTCTTGTTTTCCCCACAATGGGGCCCCAAAACCCACATAGGGACCTGCCAATATAGTTGTTAATAATGTCAGGCATGTGACATCAAGGTGCCGACAAACACAGTGACATTTTAAAGACGGCCACCCAGCTTCTGACATGCACCAAAGAGGTGCAATGTTCTGTTATCCATGTTTATGATCAGTGATGGGGTCAAAACTAGTCCGGATCCGACTATCTGTCCTCTCAGATAATCTAATCATTATGTCATTTGACACTGGTTGTTCCCCCTGAATTTACTCATGCAATGACATCGGTTGTTCCCTGTTAATATAACCATCTTGTCATGTGACACTGGTTCTTCCCCCTGAATCTAACAGATCATTTCATGTGATACTGGTTCTTCCCCTGAATCTAACAGATCATTTCATGTGACATTAGTTCTTCCACCTGAATCCAACAGATCATTTTATGTGACATTGGTTCTTCCCCCTGATTCTAACAGATTATTTCATTTGACATTGATTCTTCCATCTAAATCTAACAGATCATTTCATGTGACATTGGTTCTTCCCCCTGAATCTTACAGATAATTTCATGTGGCACTGGTTCTTCCCCCTGAATCTAACAGATCATTGCATGTGACACTGGTTCTTCCCCCTGAATCTAACAGATCATTTTATGTGACATTGGTTCTTCCCCCTGAATCTAACATCATTTTATGTGACACTGGTTCTTCACCCTGAATCTAACAGATCATTTCATGTAACACTGGTTCTTCCTCCTGAATCTTACAGATCATTTCATGTGACACTGGTTCTTTCCCCTGAATCTAACAGATCATTTCATGTGACATTGGTTCTTCCCCCTGAATCTAACAGATCCTTTCATGTAACACTGGTTCTTCCTCCTGAATCTTACAGATCCTTTCAGGTAACACTGGTTCTTCCTCCTGAATCTTACAGATAACTTCATGTGACACTGGTTCTTCCCCCTGAATCCAACAGACAATTTTATGTGACAATGGTTCTTTGCCCTGAACAACATGTTATATGTCATAACACTGGTTCTTCCTCCTGAATCTTACAGATCCTTTCAGGTAACACTGGTTCTTCCTCCTGAATCTTACAGATAACTTCATGTGACACTGGTTCTTCCCCCTGAATCCAACAGACAATTTTATGTGACAATGGTTCTTTGCCCTGAACAACATGTTATATGTCATCCCCTCGATTCATTCACCAAGCCGTGTGTGTGTGTGTTTTAAATTAAAAACTGTACTTTTATTTACAACATACTAAATAAAACTTGCCACTCCAAACAGCTATTCTCACTGTCTGTGTTCCCCGTGTGGGTTGCGGGCTCCCATTGTGGGGAAAACAAGAACAGACCAACTACCTCCCCAGCAATCATGCTGTAAGAATCGACTAACTGGGGGCTTCCTTCAGTCAGAGTGCATCTGCCTGAGAGGCAAGGAACCAAAAGTCTGCATACAAATAAGCAGGACCTGTAAAATGGATGCACCTACAAAACTCAGGTCCTGGAACTAAGCCAAAGTCCAGAAACTGATGAATAACCAGGTCTTTCTGCCGGGGTTTACAGCCGGTGAACCCAACACAATAACAACTGTCTGTGTAACATTTTTTTAAACGATTCACTGCTAAATGCTCATAGAAACCCCTTCTATCCTTGGCACCTGTGAAGAAACCTGAAAGATTGTTCAGAATTGGACAAACCTGCACGGCTGGCCAAGCTGCCTGAAGGGCGTCAATCCATGTGTTCACAGTCTCTCCTGTTCTCATATCCACATTCACGTACAGGGGTGTGTTACCAGCTCCACTGTTGCATCTAGCTCGCCTAGTGACAAGTCAAAACTGTACAGTACAGAACCATTCAAAACCAATTTACAGTTACAACACTGTGCAAGCCTGCCTAATCTACTGCTGACCTACCTGTCCATTCAGACAATCTAACACACAGACTCCATCATCTGTCCCCTCAGATAATCCAACACACAGACTCCATCACCAGTTCCCTCAGATAATCTAACACACAGACCCCATCACCTGTCCCCTCAGATAATCCAACACACAGACTCCATCACCAGTTCCCTCAGATAATCTAACACACAGACCCCATCACCTGTCCCCTCAGATAATCCAACACACAGACCCTATCACCCGTCCCCTCAGATAATCTAACACACAGACCCCATCACCAGTTCCCTCAGATAATCTAACACACAGACCCCATCACCTGTCCCCTCAGATAATCTAACACACAGACCCCATCACCCGTCCCCTCAGATAATCTAACACACAGACCCTATCACCCGTCCCCTCAGATAATCTAACACACAGACCCCATCACCCGTCCCCTCAGATAATCTAACACACAGACCCCATCACCCGTCCCCTCAGATAATATAACACACAGACTCCATCACTGTCCTCTCAGATAATCGAACACACAGACCCCATCATCTGTCCCCTCAGATAATCTAACACACAGACCCCATTAACTTTCCCCTCAGATAATCTAACACACAGACCCCATCAACCGTCCCCTCAGATAATCTAACACACAGACCCCATCACCCGTCCCCTCAGATAATCTAACACACAGACCCCATCACCCGTCCCCTCAGATAATCTAACACACAGACCCCATCACCCGTCCCCTCAGATAATATAACACACAGACTCCATCACTGTCCCCTCAGATAATCTAACACACAGACCCCATCACCCGTCCCCTCAGATAATCTAACACACAGACCCCATCACCCGTCCCCTCAGATAATCTAACACACAGACCCCATCACCCGTCCCCTCAGATAATCTAACACACAGACCCCATCACCCGTCCCCTCAGATAATCTAACACACAGACCCCATCACCCGTCCCCTAAGATAATATAACACACAGACTCCATCCCTGTCCTCTCAGATAATCGAACACACAGACCCCATCATCTGTCCCCTCAGATAATCTAACACACAGACCCCATTACCCTTCCCCTCAGATAATCTAACACACAGACCCCATCACCCATCCCCTCAGATAATCTAACATGGGGACCCCCATTACCCATCCCCTCAGATAATCTAACACACAGACACCATTAACTTTCCCCTCAGATAATCTAACACACAGACCCCATCACCCATCCCTCAGATAATCTAACACGGAGACCCCTATCACCCATCCCTCAGATAATCTAACACGCAGACCCCTATCACCCATCCCTCAGATAATCTAACACACAGACCCCATTACCTGTCCCCTCAGATAATCTAACACAGAGACCCCATCACCCGTCCCCTCAGATAATATAACACACAGACCCCATTACCCTTCCCCTCAGATAATCTAACACACAGACCCCATCACCCGTCCCCTCAGATAATATAACACATAGACCCCATTACCCTTCCCCTCAGATAATCTAACACAGAGACCCCATCAACCGTCCCCTCAGATAATATAACACACAGACCCCATTACCCTTCCCCTCAGATAATCTAACACACAGACCCCATCACCATCATCTGTCCCTCAGATAATCTCACACTGCTAGTCTACATTCCGTGTCAAATTGTTTGTCTACATTCTGTGTCACATCATTAGTCTATATTCTATGTCAAACAGATGGTCTACATTCTCTGTAACACTTCTAGTCTATGTTCAGAAATCTTGGGAAAAACTACTTTCACATATATATATATATATATATATATATATATATCACTAACTTTCACGCACTCACCAATTCACAAACCCACCCACACGTTCACTGTTTCTAACTCTCTCACACACTTACTCTCTCTCTCTCTCTCTCTCACACACACACACAGTGCACTAAACTTACCCTCGCCTCAAATGAAATTTGATACTTTCATAAGACTCATTAAACATCTTCAGATCACTGCTTTCTCCGAAGAGAATATATGCCTGATAAAACAAAGATCACATGATCAGAGCACAGATATTTTTTATAGGAGAAATCAACTGATAATTTCCTCTTCATAAAAGTAATGAATTTCAAAAAATGAATGAAATAAAATAGATTTTAACTTTCACTGAAACAGGATCAAATTACAGATGAAAGCTTGAGATTCCCGCACATTTGTGGGGGGATGGGGGTGGGGTGGAGGTGGGGGGGGGGGGGATACCTACTATGGAAGCAAATGGTGTGCCCCTAAATGATCTAATTAAGGAGTGAACAATAGATGAAAGGTTTTGACCATCTGACAAGAGTACTCTGGTATTAACTATCGCAAACAACCACAGTGGAGAAACATAATGAGCAGGCAAAACTGGAGAAACATAATGAGCAAGCCACACTGGAGAAACATAAATCAGACTTGTGTAGGGTTCTAATCACTTTAGATCCTGAGGGCAGGGACTGGCCAGCTGGTGCTGCAGAGTCAGAAGTTCAACAAATGATTCATGACAATTCCCACCCAAGTGATGTGATTATCTATACAAATGGTTGTGTGTTGAGAGGTAGATGAAGAGCCTAGGGGTTCATAGCAAAAGTTAATGGACGTTGCTTAATGCAACAAAACCTAGCATATGATATCACAATTTATAGTTTGAGAATGGAGGTGGAGGCAGTCACTGCTGCCTTCTGCTGGACTTAGAAACAACTGTACACACATGTCGCAAATGTAAATGACTCACAGAGTATGTTGAAAAAAGGCATGCTAAGTGCAGAGTGCCAAGCATCACATCAGAGGTCCCAGGTAGTTAATGTCCTTTAAATATTTTCTTCAGGGTAGGACGGTGTGTTGGGAAATGATTAGCCAGCTAGACTGGCTGGTTCTGTCCCACTTTGTGGTGAATTATTGTATGATAAGCTAGATGTTGTGTGGGCCCTTTGGGAGCAAGTGAAGACAAGGCACAAACAGACCATTATGGTCTGGGAATGGCGCTGCAAAGAGTTATCAGGGGATCTGGCCAATACTCAACACGCTCAAAATGAGACGGATGTAGAATCAGACAGTTAACTGGTACCATCAAAATTTGAACTCTTCGCTTGCTGCTAAAGATGGGTACGGAAAACTTAGAAACACAAAGAGCAAAGCCACACAGGAGAAATATAACGAGCAAGGCCACACAGGAGAAATATAACGAGCAAGGCCACAGTGGAGAAATATAATGAGCCAAGCCACAGTGGAGAACGAACGAACGAACGAACGAACAAACTTTATTTTTAAAGGGTTAAGAATTGGGCACGCAGGCCCGTCTAACATTCTGCCCTTCGAGGTCTCCCTCCATTCTTACATCATTTCATTTACACATCAAGTAATATTAAAAGTTAGCAATAGCATCAAAATAATCAATACAAGCACTGGAATGTGCACATTTCTAACTACAGTAAAACGTATTAGTTGTAACAAATCTAAGAAATGAGCGCTATTTTTCACATATGTTTTATCTTCTATGGGGGCATAAAATCGGTGCTCAGATAATATTCGAACAGTTTCCGATTGTATGTATATGGACTAGTGGTACTTTTGATTTGCTGTGGTAGATAGTTCCACAATTGAGCTGCGGAATATGACAGACTTGTTTTATAAAGGTCTATCCTAGGTTTAGGGATGTGTAATATGTTTAGACACTTACTATGCGGTTCATTATATTTGAACAACGGCCATAAGTAACATGGAGCCTTTTGAGATAATATTTTGTAAGTATATTTTGCCTTATTGAAAAGTAGACGTTCACGAAGCGGTAGTAGTCTAAGACCTTTATATGTTTCGGAGCTCAGTGTTCCATGATTGTTACTAATTAAGCGAATGGCGCGCTTTTGCAGTGATGTGAGTCGCTTGATAACAGAGCTGGAACAGCCATGCCATATTGTAGAGCAATAGTCTACATGTGTCTGGATGTGAGAAATATAGAATATCTTTCTTGTGTGTTCATCAAGAAAGTTTTTAATTTTTGCAAGCTGGTAAACCTTTTTAGCTGTTTGCTTCACAAGTGCTTGTACGTGTGAGTTGAATGTTAGATTTGCATCAATTACCAACCCCAGTGTCTTGTGCTCAGTTACATTTTCTACTTGAGTGCCTCCAATGTAGAGTTGAAGCGTTCTCTGAGAATTTAAACTGTATAGTTTTTGCCTGGTCGTTATTAGCATAGATTTGGTTTTATTAATGTTTATTTGCATACGGTTTGCACTGCTCCATTGGACTACATTGTTTAATTCTTGTTGTAATGAGGACTCTAGTAAATTACATGTTTGAGCATTTGCATAGATGGTACAGTCGTCTGCGAATAAATCGCAGGATGACGACAGACCTAAAGGAAGGTCATTTATGTAGATATTGAATAACAGAGGACCGAGAATCGAGCCTTGAGGTACCCCAGTATTTAATTCAGTGGCTTGCGATAGTGATTTATTGTAACAGATTATTTGTTTTCTATTTAACAAAAAGGATTTTATTAACTGTAATAGTCTAGGGTTAAATTTCATTGTTTCTAATTTTCTTATAAGAATGTTATGGTCTATCATATCAAAAGCTTTCTTAAAGTCTATAAACACCCCGCCACATATTTTCTCATCATTAACATTCTGGTGCCATTTTTCAATCATGTTAGTTAAAGCAGTATGGCAAGAATAGTTTGGTCGAAAACCTGATTGGTTATCCACTATAAGTTTGTTGTGATCTAAGTGCTGAAAAGTTACATTATGAATATGTTTCTCTAGTGGTTTCGATAGTGATGATAACAGGGAGATTGGTCTATAGTTACCTGGAATACTACTGTCCAAGGAACCAGATTTTAGATGCGGATACACTTTGGCAATCTTAAATGCAGATGGGAAGTAGCCTCTGACAAGACATTGGTTGTAAATAAAGGTCATCGACTCACAAATAACTGGGGCAGAACTACGAAGGATCCTATTGCTGATTCCGTCTAAACCGGATGTATTACTGTTTCTGAGACTGTTGAAATGTATAAAAACTTCCGCAACTGTCATGAGAGGAATGTCAGAAGGAATGTCTTCAGGGCATTTATTTTCACAAAATGCTGATAGCAGTGATAAATCACATGGACAGTTTGGCATTGTGGCTTTTACATTTTCTATATTGGCTTCAAAGAAATTACTGAAATCATTCGATGTTATATTAGATGTCAGCAAACGCGTGGAAGTACCTTTGTTTGTCAATGTATTGATTGCCTTCCATATGTCTTTGCTGTTTCTTTTATCTACTATTAGCTGTTTAAAAAAGTTTTTTTTTTCCTTACGAATGGTATACTGGACTTTGTTTCGCAGATTCCGGTATGTGATTATATCCTTCTTTTTATGCGCCCTATCTCGCTCTCTCATGATTGCAACTACCTCCTGTGTGATCCAAGGGGATTTAGTTTGATGTTTCACACGGACCTCCTAAACTGGCACATGCTTATCAAATACACTAGAGAAGGTCTTCAGCCAATATTCAAGAGCGTCATCTGAATCAGAGAGCTGATAAACGTGGTCAAGAGGTGAATTGAACAAGTCTAGTAGGAATGCATCTTGATTAAAATTTTTATAGCTTCTAAATTTAATACTTACATGCTTTTGTTTAACAGTTTTTACGCCTTTTTTATTCCCCACACAAATTACGGGGTAATGGTCACTCAGTGCTGTAGTGGGTACCTTGCATTCTATAATGTTGTCAGGACATGTTGCATAAATATGGTCTATAAGGGTTGACGACGATTTGGTTATTCTAGTAGCTTGTTTGACTAGTTGTTTGAGATTAAATGAGGTAATTATGTCTTCCCACGTCTTGTTGGATTTTAGGGCATTTATATTGAAGTCCCCAAGAAGTATAATTTCCCCTGCATTGTTGAACACCATATCCATCATATTGGTAAAGTTGTCATACCATATATTATCAGCGCTAGGATTGCGGTAGAGATAACCAACTACGATGGGTTTGTGGTTTTGTAGCTTAACTTCTAAAAATATGCATTCTACATCGCTAGTCTCTAAGTCTAGTCTACGTTGGACATTAAGGGAATTACTGACATAGACCGCTATACCCGTTTCTTATTTCTTATGTGGGTCTCTTCTAATAACACTAAAACCATTAACATGTATATCATCATCTGTAATGTTGTCATTTAATCTACTCTCACTAAGACCGAACATCTGAAAATTTTGACTAAGAATAAGGGACAGTTCGGGCAGTTTTCGAGAAGATGGCAAATATTCAGATGACCTATTCTAAGCCCAGTTTTACTAAGCCAGTGCTCATGCGTGTCAAATATTATAAACTGCAGTGTGGCAATAGAAAATAAGCTATGCCAGCACCAGCAAATACCAAGTTACACAAAAAATATTATTCAGGCAATACAAGAGTAAAAACAAATTTACAACAATAAAATAGTATTGAGCGAGAAAAAAAAAATAAGTAAAACAGTTAAAATGGAGATAGTGCAGAAAAAATGAATTACAATGAATTACAATATTTTAACTCATATACACCACCACCTAAGTTACAGTTTAGCAGATTAAAGCAGTATTATAACTAGCTCAAAAAATATACAAAATAAGTGTAGTTTGATAGACAAATGACTGTTTATAAGTATGGCTATGTAACCCACTGCTGATCGAGTGGGTAACACTGTAATAATAAAATAAGGGCTTTAAAAAAACTTGTCCGACTGATATAGGGTAAGCGTTTGTTTTTTTGTTTTTAGCAAGCGTTGTATCTGGCTGGTCTGCACCGTGCTGACATCATAAATGCTTGTCGCAGAATTTCAGGATCGAAGCGCATGAGATGGTACAAATCTCGGTTCCAATTCAAAGGATATTGTCGGTCGGGTACGCTGTTGTTTCTAGCCGCAGTCCCGAGCCCATCAGTCCTATTGACGGACTTTTCCCTACTTGGAAGTGGAGGAAAGGAATAATCATAGTTGCTACTCTCCTGTACGAAGGTGGGTGTGTGAGGGTG